ACTTATTGCGAGCGAAACATTGATTGTTAAAGATGTGAATTAGTTTGATACAGTCGGTAAGGACTTTCTTCGTTACTTTAATATTATGTTATGTGTAAGATATATAAGTAATTTCTTGTTTATATCTGTATTTATTATAGAAAACCTATTCCTATTCCTATTGCTATACTATTCGTATAAAGATTTAATATTGAATTATTGTCGAAGAAATTTTATTGCGTATCGCTGAATTGAGACGGGAGAGAAAGGAGTTGAGTTATACGTATCAAATCTATGATTTAGAGCGAGTTTTGAATTAAAGCTAACGCGGGTTAGCTACAGTTTTCGACTATACGCTTTGGAGCGACATTTATTGAACAATATATTCGTCTTTGTGTTGTGATTGTCGCGTATAGCTGTAAACAATTGAATCTGAGAACAATATCTGCGTTGATATTGAGACCGTGTTTGCTAAAGATGTCTGACAAGGAAGTTAATATAGAATCTCACAGTGATAAAATGTCAGAACCGCGTACAAGAGTTCCTAGACCTAACGATCAGGCGAGTGATTTGGGATATAAATCTGAGAAAATATACCAACTAGCGAAAAGTCGTGCGGGTTATATTGGCGTAATTACGAAAGTTTATAAAGAAATTTCCGATATGATTGCTTACAATAAGTGTAATGTGGGGGACATTTCGTTGAAATTGAATAAATTTGACCAAGCTTGGTGCGAATTTGTCGGGGTACATGAGAAATATCTCGTTTTAATAGAGCATGAGACTGAGAAAGAAAGTGCTTGTGTTAGCTACGTAGAGCAAAGAAAACGCAAATTGAATCTCGATGCCATGGTAACAGAATGGCGTCAGAAGGCGAAAATAGAATTGCATGATGAAACCGGAAGTAGAAGCGCTAAATCTAAACATTCCAAGAGCATGAGAAGCGAGGCCTCCAGTTCGAAGGCATCGTCGATTGTAAGAAAAAGGGAAGAAATGGCGCTAGCGCGTATGAAGGTAGAGCAGTTGAAGATTCGGCAACAATTTGAGATCCAGGAACAGGAAGTTAGGAGGAAAAGGGAATTAGCAGAAGCAGAAATGGAAGCTAATATGGCGGTGGTCTCCTATGAAATATTCCAGGAAAACGAGGGTAGTATCTCAGAGAGTAAGGGGCTAGGAAAATACATTTCACCGTATGATGTACAGGACACTAATGAGCCCATTGAGCTAGGTTTAATGAAGGGGAAAGAGAGTAAACAAAGTTACAAAAGCGAAAGACAATCGTGTGAAGTTCTAACCGAAAGAGGATTCCAGCATAAGGGATTTAGAAATGCGAGCGAAGTACATGAATCGAGCAGTAGAAAACCCCTAGTTCAAGAAGGACAATCGCAACCGTCCTTACAATATCAAAGGCTGCCAATCTTGGACCACAATTCTGCTTCTGAACTTAGAGAAACAGGAACTTTACCGTTTGGCTTACCAGCTGCGAGATCCCAGGAACTATTACCAAGTTTAGCAGCGAGGGCACCAGTTACAAATGGAGCGAGAATAGGGAGAATCCTGACACTTTATTACAGTGTGTGAGCCAACCAACAACGAATGGAAGCTTGCCTCGCCCCTATCCACCACCCTTGGCGGCGACCACAGGCTCACATTACCCGCATCAAATTAATTTGAACGACTCAAACACCCCTACCCATCAACAAGGATACGCACTACCCACTGAAAATAATCAACAAGTCGGTGATTATACTGGAAATAACCGAATATCTCCTACGGATGAAATTGCACGAGCTCTTCGTCAAGTTGTGAATATGCCCAAGATTGAATATCTGCATTTTAATGGTGATCCGTTAAAGTTTGGAGCATTCATGCACAATTTCGAAAATTGTTTAGAAAGAGATGATCCAGATGACTCAAGAAAATTACAGCTGTTGATACAGCACTGCACTGGAAAGGCGAGGGAGGCTATCGAGAGCTGTGTAAACCTAGCAGCTTGTGATGGGTACCGGGTAACAAAGGAGATCCTTCATGAGCATTTTGGGAAGCCTCATGTTGTCGCCATGGCTCATATCAAGAAACTAGTGGACTTACCTAGCCTTAAGTCTGGAAGTCGTTGTTGGAATTCTCGAGACATTTAAATACAGCCGAAAGGACCCTAAAGGGAATGGGTGCGTCGTATACATCAGATTTAAATCATATGAATACGTTGAGAGAGCTAGCGAAGAAACTACCCATGTATCTAAGGTAGAAAACCAGAGTTTGGAGACTTTCAGAAGTTTGTCCAACACAGAGCGAAGTTGGTAAACAATGAATTTGGAACGGACATGGCGGTTAGTACGAGAACTAAAGCTAATAGAAGCGAGGGGACCTGGAAACGAAGAGAAAAAACAATAAAAATAATGGAATATCGTCATTTGTAGCTGGATCGAATGGTGACCAAGTGAATAGCGGTAGACAACCAGTCAGTTGCGAAGCTTGTTCTGGGCCGCATCGTGTATAGAGATGTGATACGTTCAAGAAAATGGAACTGAATGAAAGGCAAAAAATAGTTCTGCAAAGGGGACTGGGCAATAAATGTTTAGTTAGGGAACATATAGCCAAGAACTGTCCCAAGACCAATTTTAAGTGCAGAATTGCTGAATGTGGTGCTAAGCATCACACACTGTTGCATCATACGAAGGGTGCAGGGACGGAGCGAGATAAAATGAAACAGAAGGAGGTGAAATCAGGAACTAAGAACGAAGACGGGGCCGGAGATCGTGTGCAACAAGTAAACGGAGAACCTAATGGCTCAGTTGCAGCAACTAGGGCTGGGAAGAAGAGAGTATGCCTCGGAGTGATTCCAGTGCGTGTTCGGGGTCACAATAGTAGTCATGAGGTGGAAACGTACGCGTTGTTAGACAACGGATCAGAGGTGACTTTGTGTCATGATCGATTAATGGAAACCCTAGGGCTGGACGGTGACAAATTGAAATTTACCTGAACTGGAATAAATGGAACAACTGAGGTGGAAGGCCGAAGCATAAATATTGTTGTTGAGTCGCTTGATGGTAGTACTGCTGTTGAGTTATCGAAAGTGAAAACGGTGAAACAAATGCCAGTGTCAAAGGGCTGCATACCGAAGAAGATTGATTTGGAAAGATGGCCTCATCTAAAAGATATTGAAATCCCTGAGTTAGTTGATGGGGAAGTATTACTGTTGATTGGTTTAAAAGAGAGACCACGTTTATTCCTACCTTTGGAAGTTCGAGAAGGCGGTGACGAAGAACCAATTGCCATTCGATATAGCTTGGGATGGACAGTGATGGGTCCTGTTGGTGGAGCTAAAGAAACGCGCGGTTGTCTTGTGAATTTTGCAAGAACGAAGAATGTCAATAGTGGTCTCGGAATGAACAATGACTTTCGCACCAAGGAAAATCTTTCGGGCAATGTCACCATTAAAGATATAGATAAAGGAGAAGATGTGTACAATGAAATTGGACTAGAAAACTGCATGTTTGTTGATCAAAGAGTAACAAATGAAGATGATCTGCTAAGGCGCCAGCTAGAGCGTCTTTGGAACACGGACTTCAACGAGTCTACAGTACGAAGTAACGAATCAAATCTATCGGTTGAAGATAAGAGAGCCGTAGAAATAATGGAGCAAACGTTGAAAAGGAAGGATGGCCATTTCCAAGTAGCACTTACGTGGCGAAAGAAACCCGTGGTGATCCCAAATAACAGACCAATGGCTGAGAAACGTCTTCATTCGTTAAAACGTCGATTGCAGAAGAATAGTGAGTTATTCATCAAGTATAAGGACGCTATGCAAGATTATATTGATAAGGGGCACGCCGAAAGGGTACCAGAAGAAGAGCTGGAAGTAAACAATGGTAAAGTATGGTACTTACCTCACCAACCAGTCACGCATCGCCTGAAACCAGAGAAAGTAAGGGTTGTATTTGACTGTGCTGCAAAGTATAAAGACCAGTCCCTGAATATGCAGTTATTACAAGGTCCTGACTTAACAAATAATCTGGTTGGCGTCCTGATACGTTTCCGAGAAGGTTCCATTGCTCTAGTCGCGGACATTGAGTCCATGTTTTACCAGGTGTTCATGGATCCTGACGATTGCAACGTATTCCGATTCCTTTGGTGGGAAAACGGCGATTTGAATGAAGAGCCGACCGAGTATCGTATGGTGAAGCATGTCTTCGGGGCAACATCTTCGCCCAGCTGTGCGAATTTCTGCTTGAAGAAAACAGCTTCGATCTTTGGAGGAGAGTTTAACAAAGAAGTGTCGAAGACGATCGATAGAAACATGTATGTCGATGACTTAATGAAATCTGTGAACGGTGCAGAAAGAGCAATTGTTCTCGCTAAGCAACTACGAGAGCTGTTGCAGGAGGGAGGCTTTAGATTAACCAAATGGCTAAGTAATAATCGCGAAGTCTTAGCGACAATAGCAGAGTACGAGCGAGCGAAGTCTGTAGTTAACTTGGACATAGAGGATTTACCAACAGAGTCGGCTCTTGGGCTGAAATGGAATGTCGAAGAAGATGCGTTCGTTTGGGAGTTTGACAGTGAAGCTTTAGTTCGGGCACAACGAAAGGCGTTGACTAGACGTGGGGTCTTAGCTGTAGTGTCATCTCTTTTCGATCCACTTGGTATGACAGCACCGTATGTTATGAAAGCAAAGCTTTTGCTCCAAGAACTATGTCGCAGAAAACTAGAATGGGATGAAGAAATTAATGAATCTGAAAAGAAACAGTGGTTACTTTGGTTAAGCGACTTATCGAAATTAAAGGAGGTGAAAATAGGACGATGTTTCAAGCCCGATGACTTCGGTGAAATCCAGACTGCGGAACTGCATCTCTTTTCCGATGGATCCCGAGACGGGTATGGAACAGTGGCTTATCTTAGGCTGGTCGACGATAGAGATCGCATTCATTGTTCCTTTGTTCTTGGAAGAGCTCGAGTAGCACCCATTCGCGAAATTACAATTCCGCGTTTAGAAGTATCCGCGGCTGTTGTGTCCGTTCAGCTTCGAGAGACGATACAAAGAGAGTTCGACATAAGACTTGATCGTGTGATGTTTTGGTCTGACTCTATGTCAGTGCTGAAGTGCATAAGAAACGAAACGAAGCGCTTCCATACATTCGAGTCCAATCGCCTTACTATCATTCATAACGGATCAAACGTCTCAGAGTGGAAATATGTTAAAAGTGAAGAGAATCCTGCGGATGATGCTTCTAGAGGGCTGAAGTTGGATGCGTTGCTGCAAAGGAAAAGGTGGTTAAAGGGTCCGACGTTTCTATGGAAGAGCGAAAGTGAATGGCCCGCTAGTGTTGAAGTACCAAATTTAAGCGACGACGATCCTGAAGTGAGACATGGTGCAACTGTTTACACCACTGCAACTAGTGAAAGAATCCTGGAGTCTTTAGTTCAAAGATACTCGACTTGGTGGGGATTGGTGAGGGCATTCGCTTGGCTATCGAGATTTAAAGATTATTTGAGGATGAAGGTTTCCAATAAAAACAGTAAATTTCGAGTGGCAGGAAAGGCGGAATTGAAAGTTCGGAATTTGAAAGTTGACGAGCTGAAGACAGCTGAGCGAAATGTTGTTCGTTACGTACAACACACGTCATTCCCTGAGATCATCACCGCGCTGCAAGAAGGAGGATCCAAAGCGGGTAACGGACATATCAAGCGAAATCTGCAAAACATTGGGAGCTCTCTATACCAGCTCAACCCAACGTTACAAGACGGATTGATAATTGTAGGCGGACGGCTTGAGTTCGCGAACATCAGTGAAGAAGCAAAGCATCCAATGGTTCTACCAAACAAGCATCATGTGACTGACCTGATAATAAGACATTATCACACAGTAGTTGGACACATGGGACAAGAATCTGTTCTAGCAGGTCTTAGAGAGAAATTTTGGGTCTTGAAGGGGAGAGCAGCTGCGAGACGCGTTATACGTTTCTGTGTGGATTGCCAAAAGAGGAAGAAGCCGACATGTGAGCAGTTTATGGCAGACTTGCCACGTGATAGAGTGACAGCTTATGAACCACCGTTTACGTCGGTTGGCGTCGATTATTTCGGTCCAATTGAAGTAAAACAGGGAAGATGTCATGTTAAACGTTATGTATAGGTTATTTTGAGGCAACGAGGGGATATGTGATTTATTCACCGAGGCGCGTAGCGCCGAGGTGAATAAACACATATCCCCGAGGTGCCTCAAAATAACGTACTTATTTTTCACACTGCGAGGTCGCGTTAATGAGTCAGAATAGAAATAATTCTTAATGCCATATTGCCTTCGTTATGTTGTTTTTTTTTTCTCATTTTTTTATGCTGCAAAGACATTCCAGGTGAATATTAGAGGGGATTATTAATTGCAGGTGAATATTAGAGGGGATTATTAAACGGAAATTGATTAGAGGGGAATATTGAATATATTCCCCGCTAAGAACAAAGGAAACCGAGCAGGGTGAAAAATAAGGTTGCATATTTACGTGCTTGAACACTCGTGCGCTGCATATCGAGATTGCACATTCTCTCAACACGGACTCGATGCTTAACGCGTTGAGAAGATTTGTAAGTTTAAGGGGATGTCCACGAGAGATCCGTAGTGATAATGGTACCAACTTTAAGAAAGCTGACAAAGAATTAAAAGCCAGCATAGACGAATGGAACCACTCAAACATCGAGAATTTCTGTACACAAAGAGGGATTAATTGGGTATTTAATCCCCCAGGAGCAAGCCATATGGGAGGAGACTGGGAAAGGATGATCAGGTCCGTGCGTCAGATCTTAAGAGCGTTGTTGAAGGGCAAATTGTTTGTGACGAGGTGCTTTCCACAATCATTGCCGAAGTTGCGAATATACTCAACGGTAGACCACTTACAAGAAACAGTGACGACCCAAGAGATTCGGACCCCCTGACACCAAATCACCTTCTACATCTACGACCTTGTCCTTCTTTACCACCCGGCGTGTTTGGGAACGATGACAAAATACGCAGCGTCAGTGGAGACAGGCACAATTTCTAACCAATATGTTTTGGAAAAGATGGATCAAAGAGTACCTTCCGTCGTTACAAAGGCGACAAAAATGGAATGAACTTCGGGATAATTTAAAGATCGATGACGTCGTACTTTTGGCCAATGAGAATTATCCGAGAGGGCAATGGCCGTTAGCTCGAGTGGTAGAAGTGATGAAAGGAAATGATGGAATGGTTCGTAGTGCCAAGATAAAGACGTGTTCGACAGTAGTGACCCGTGCGAAACGGAAGCGTCGAGGAGAAGTGAAGACAACAACTGCTATGTTGGAACGCCCGATCACGAAGCTGTGTCGTCTAGAGATGGACAACATTTGAACTAGCAGGGAAGTAAACTATTATCATAACGGTAGCTATTTAAGTTGTGTAGTAAATGAATCTTAACGTTCATTTTGGGGCCGGTGTAGCTACCATTAGATATTAACAATATTACATAATTAAGAAAACTATAAGCGGGGTTGGGGGCGTGTTTTTTGGGATTGATATTTTGCTCTTGACTGCGAGCGAAGACCAATTTGAACTATGACTTATTGCGAGCGAAACATTGATTGTTAAGACCTGTTTACACTTGCAATTTCGGCTGCGATTTTAGGTGCGATTTTCTTCTTCTGACGGATGTGAACGAGTGGATGAGTTATGAATGTTCAGACGAGGGTACATCAGTAAGGCATATACTCAGAACATTCTTAACTTATTTACTCGTTCACATCAATCAGAAAGAGAAAATTGCACTCGAAGTCGCAGGAAAATTTGCAAGTGTAAACGGGCCTTTGAAGATGTGAATTAGTTTGATACAGTCGGTAAGGACTTTCTTTGTTACTTTAATATTATGTTATGTATAAGATATATAAGTAATTTCCTGTTTATATCTGTATTTATTATAGAAAACCTATTCCTATTGCTATACCATTCGTACAAAGATTTAATATTGAATTATTGTCGAAGAAATTTTATTGCGTATCGCTGAATTGAGATGGGGAGAAAGGAGTTGAGTTATACGTATCAAATCTATGATTTAGAGCGAATTTTGAATTAAAGCTAACGCGGGTTAGCTACAAATTCTTTGCAATTCTTTGATTGTTTAGCTATCCATTTTTTGTTACATGCCATATATATAGGGCATGCAACTTTTATATACACACGTAAAAACGCACAAGTTTGTTACAAGTCTGTTCACAAGCTGTTAACAAGATGTATTCGCACTGCTTGTCACAAGTTGTTAACAGGTTTGGAACAACTTGTTGACAACTTGTAACAACCTTGTCGAAATTATCAGACTTGTTGCAAGGTTGTTCTGACAAGTCTGTGACATGCTTGATATAACAAGATTGTTACAAACTTGTGTTAACAATCTTGTAACATCCTTGTTATATCATGGCTGTAACAAACTTGTTAGCACAATCTTGTAACAAGGCTGATAATGCCATCGAGCTTGTTACAAGTTGTTAACAGCTTGTTTCAAACTTGTTACAACAAACTGGGAACAAGAAGTGCGAGCACAACTTGTTAACAGCTTGGGAACAGACGTGTAACAACTTGTTTTCAGACTTGTTACACAGGCTTGTGCGTTTTTACGTGTGTAGCTCTAAATTTCATGTCGTCGTGAGCGGTGAGTGAGCGCCACATGAGCGTACCGATGGTCGTAAGTCACGTGGCAGATTCGTGAAATACGACAGATACCGAGTTTTTCCGACAAGCATTTTCATGTGATGTGAATCACTCTTCCACGTTTTCGTCCATGGTTTTCGTTGAGGAAACACAGAGAAAATATTGATTGTTCGCCGAAAATTTACATAATTGAGCGCCTTAGAAAAATTAGATCGAGGTAGGACTAAAGGGCAGTTGGCAATAAAATTTTTTATTGCTTTATCTGAAAGAGCATGGAAAAATAAGCCGATTGGCCGTTTACTGCTCTATTCTATCTCATCTGGTTCCGAAATTATACGCAAAAATGTGTAAAATATAAATTGCCGATTCAGCACAACGTGTGACGTCATTAGTTGGGTAAGTATGTTTAATGAATACTAAACTGAAGCGTAGCTCAGTTATTATGGGCCCAAATCAAATAAAATTTTGCATACTGATTGTACATGATGAGACGCATTGAAAAACACTTCTAATTTTGTTGCCAAGGTAACAATGTCGTTCCCAGGCCCCTTGCGCCAATTTTATAAAACAGCTTTATTCATGGTACTGATAAGGATAAAATAATGTCAGAAGTATGTGTACCATACCTATGCATGCCAAAAGTTTACTTGCATGATAATAATTCGAAAATGTCATACACATAGATAAATGCAACTAGTTATTCAAAATCAGTGTAAGGGGCCTGGGAACGACTGTGTTGCCTTGACAAAAAAATTAGAAGATTTTCCCATGCGTCTCATCATGTAGAGGGTGGGAAAGGGGGGTATGGATCACGTTTCACAACAACAAAAAAAGCCGTTTCACGATTCGCGTGTCTTAAAAGAGCAACTTTCACGGAAAACTAGATTCTCATAAAATAATATAATAATAATAGGTTTACTAAGACTATGTTTAATGCATGGTACAGTATCTACGCTTTAAGTTCTCATTTCTCTACGGCCTGTCAGTTAAAAACTACATCATAACTTACAAGTTTAAGTGACGAGAATGTACGACGAACCTCAGGAACCTTGTCCTCAGCGTGAGGAACCTTGTCCCTCGGCGTGAGGAACCTTGTCCTCGGCGTCAGGAACATTGTCCTCAGCGTCAGGAACCTTGTCCTCAGCGTTAGGAACCTTGACATCGGCGTCAGGAACCTTGTCCTCAGCGTCAGGAACCTTGTCCTCAGCGTCAGGAACCCTGTCCTCAGCGTGAGGAACCTTGTTCTCAGCGTGAGGAACCTTGTCCTCAGCGTGAGGAACCTTGTCCTCAGCGTGAGGAACCTTGCCCTCAGCGTGAGGAACCTTGTCCTCAGCGTGAGGAACCTTGTCCTCAGCGTCAGGAACCTTGTCCTCAGCGTCAGGAACCCTGTCGTCAGCGTCAGAAACATTGTCCTCAGCGTCAGGAGCCTTGTCCTCAGCGTCAGGAACCTTGTCCTCAGCGTCAAGAACCTTGTCCTCAGCGTCACGAACCTTGTCCTCAGCGTCGGGAACCCTGTCTCAGCGTCAGGAACCTTGTCCTCAGCGTCAGGACCCTTGTTTTCATAGTCACGAACCTTGTCCTCAGCGTCAGGAACCTTGCCTCAGCGTCAGGAACCCTGTCCTCAGCGTCAGGAACCTTATCCTCAGCGTCAGGAACCTTATCCACAGCGTCAGGACCCTTGTCTTCAGCGTCAGGACCCTAGTCTTCAGCGTCAGGAACCTTGCTCTCAGCGTCAGGAACCTTGTCCTCAGCGTTAGGAACCTTGTCCTCAGCTTCAGGGGCCTTGTCATCAGCGTCAGGAACCTTGTCCTCAGCGTCAGGAACCTTGTTCTTAGCGTCAGGAACCTTGTCCTCAGCGTCAGAAACCTTGTCCTCAGCGTCAGGAACCTTGTCCTCAGCGTCAGGAACCTTGTCCTCAGCTTGAGGAGCCTTGTCATCAGCGTCGTGAACCTTATCCTCAGCGTCAGGAACCTTGTCCTCAGCGTCAGAAACCTTGTCGTCAGCGTCAGGAACCTTGGCCTCAGCGTCAGGAACCTCGCGAAAGACCTCCGAAGTTTTTACTCTTGTGCAATCGAGTGAGATTATATAAGTTTGATTATCGCGTATCATGGTTATTATAACAATCACTATAATAATCACTACAATAATCACAGTTCACGAAACAGGCATCCTTAATTCTCATTTCACGGAGCATTTTCATCAACAATCACGCCTCACGGCTGTAGAACAAATCACATTTCACAACACTAAAATCAAGCATTTCACATTTCACGCGAACAAATATTGACCATTCACGGCTCACGAAAATACCCTTTCCCACCCTCCATGTACTATCTGTATGCAAAATTTCATTTGATTTGAGCCAATAATAATCAGTTTACTATTCAACAAGACGCCTGCTCAGGCGTTCACACTGGCCTGAAAATGGCAACTTTCGTGGTACTGGGTGTAATGTGTAGTAGAGAAGTAGATAGGGATACAGGATCATAGGGATACTGGATCATATAAATACAACCAATAAATACAATCATGATCAGCAACTATCAACCATAATATACCAAGACGCCGGCTCAGACGTACCCTCCGGCTACGGGCAACTCAACCTGACAAGCCAGGCCCACTGTAACTATGATCGTCAACTACCAACCGTGAATAATGACGGGCCAATAATAGCGAAGAAATTATAGTCCTTGATTTTTAATGCCGTTATATGGCTAGTTTCAGGTGCTAAAAAGTTCATAGACGTAGACGATTCTTCTAAAAAATACGCCAATTTGCTTCCATTTATAAGATAAACTGATCCCAACCCAAAGCCCTTCTCTAACCCCAACCAGTAAACATCTAATAAACAATTTGAGAATTAAAAAAGTGGGGGGAAAGTTGGATCTTGTTCCAAAAACAAATCGAACCGTATCACGTTTCAATTCGCCGCACGCAACGCCACCTCGCTGAATACAATCGAAAACATACATTTTATAGTAATATATGATGAATTAGAAAGTAATTTGGCGCAAATTAAT